TGTCAATGCTGTTTTTAACCTTGTACCAGGGGTAAGGAGCAATGAATCGTTTATGAAAGCGGTATTGAACGCAAATGTCAAGTGAGCCTGAAAAAATTAAAAAAGGAAACTTAACGGTTGCACCAAAAACAGGTTCCATATTCACGCAGACTGGATAGTCTGTGCGTAATGGTAATGTTACATCGTCTACATCTTAAATGAAGCATTCGCACAGGATAAACAGGTGGAAAAACATGAATAACCCAGATTTGAGTAAAGCGATTGTACCTCGAAAAAAAAACTCAAGTCTTAGTCCCAGTAAGGATCCAGCATTATACTTCCTTCATGTAAAGGTTTAAACAGCATTTTACATCCTACGGTTAAATAGCCATCGCACCAATAACAGCCCAGGTATTTACGGGTGCTGAATAGTCTGTACTCAATTCTAATGTCACATTGTTTACAATCCAAACGAATCACCCACCTAGAACAGGGGGGAGGAAACAAACGAATACTCCATCGGTTGAGTAAAGTTATCGTACCTGACATTCGTTCCTTATATATCGCAAAATCCATGGCTTTGGCAAACGGGTGATCAACATGGAAACTCCTGGAGATTAGTTCCAAGGTGTCCAAAGAAAATTGCCGAAACATCTCTTTTACAATTCTGTTTGTCATAGCTGGATTGTACGGGTGGTCGTCCATGTACTCTAAAAGCTGATTTGAGGTCAGCGACTTGAGGATGTTATTCAACATGGTCTGAAAAATAGGCCGTCTGATTAGGGCAGCAAAGGGAAAATCGTACAGCCATTGTAGTTGATCGTTTAGAGCGGCATTTTCAGCGAATAGAACGGCAAGGGAAGGTACTTGAAGATCCATGGCTTCGAATGATAAAAATGAGCCTATCGCTGCTTTTTTTGTAGGGTCAAGTATTACACCATCAGAATGAAACAAGTCTGGAAAAACCAGTTTCGTAGTCAAAACGCGTGACCCAAAAAATTATTGCACAACGACATTAGTTCATCATGCCCGTACCGAGCCGTAAATTGTGGAAGAACCTGAGCCAAGAGCAGAAAAAAAAAAGACAGGAAAGCCAAAGAAAATGGTATGCCAAACCGGAAAGTAAAGAAAGGAAGGCCATTTTGAACAAGAAGTGGTGTCTGGAAAACACAGAGAAACGTCAAGAGAGCTCGCGGAGGTACCAAGAAAAAAACAGAGCCAGGATAAATGAAAAGACCAAAAAATGGAGGCAGGAAAATAGAGAGACATTCAATGCAAAGACGAGAGCCAGGTATCACGCGAAAAAAATCGCACAACAAGTAATCGGGCAAGAAAGCGACTTAAGTGCAGACCATGTGAAGATCGTTATGGCTCGCTGGCCGCACGTGGCAGAAAGAGAAGCCCTTAAGTACTTGTACCCAAAGGAAGTAAAGTATTTGTGGATCAAGGGAGAAGTAGAAAACTGTGAATAAAACAATTTTAAAACCATTTACTGTGTGTTTTTATTGAACCAACACATAAATGCATGACACTCGGCCATACTACAGTGAAAGCTTAAATTAAAATGACAGCTGCAATTAACAAGTGGATAATAGGTGTCTAGCAAATAATCTAATTTCGGACAACCATACTCTTCTAAATTAACAAACGGAATTTTTAATTGAGTTAAAAAAGTCTTTTCTAAAGTTCCTCCTTTGTAGGCGACTATGCATTGAGTCGGATTCTTGAATTGTTCCCACGAAGAAAAAATGTCCGCGTCACGTTTTTTTGCAGACCAATGCGTCCCCTTTGAAACTCCACGGGCCTCGGCTTAAAGGTTAACCCGGTCACCATGTCACACAAATACTTCAGGGTTCTCCGCTCTTGCTGGGTCAGACTAGACCAGACATTATCGTGTGAATAATGAATAAATCCCATCCGCTAGCCAGACTTGTCACACCATCCCAATTCTCGTACTACAAAGTCATTTTTTAAATGAAATCCGTCCAAACAAAAAAAATTACAATGTGTTAGACTCGAACAAGTTTTCCAGGGCTATTTGCA